TTAAATTTCAGTATCATGCTGAGATTAAATTTACTCATACAGTCTTCTCTGTCACAAAGGTGATTATGTTTAACTGAATGAAATCTCTATAACATTTGGAAAATAGTTTGATCTGGCTTATAGGTAAAAAGTCCTTGTGCCAACTGGATACTTGAGTGAATGATCTTTCCCATGCCTGGCTCCTTTTTTGTCTGATGTTGCCTGTGCAGTAGCACACAGAGAATGCTCTTCTCCTTCAATACCTTAAAGGCAAATTTTTCTTAGTTTTTAGAATGATGGGCAAGATGGCAGGATGTAGTTGTACTCTTTCTGGAGTTTTTGTGCATTTTGAGTTCCTTCAAAAAATGGCTAATGGTATTTTTTCTGGAAGATATTTATCAAAATAGCAGCACATATGAACAGTAACTTCTGCCTATGTTAAGCAGGATGATGGATGGTACTTACTTAATTCTCTGAGGGTTGATCAAATTAATTGCTAAACAGAAATTTAGATTTTATAAGGACACTATCAACATATGTAAAAGGGGAGTGGATCTTAAAATAAGTGCTTGTTTTTTCATAGAAGCCACAGAAGGGTATGCTGTTTCTCTGCCTGTTTTGAGGTGCCTGTGGTCTAATTGCAGTAAAGAGGACAGACAAAACAAAGAATTGTTGAGTGTGTTCCTGTGCGACAGGTGTACTGACTTCATATCCTTTCTGTGCACTATTTTCCAAATACAATTTTGCAAAATGCTGGATACTGTTTGGAGAGTAAAGCTAGTATGAGTGATGATGAAGAAATCAGCACAGAGATGGTAAAAAGATAAAGATACTGGCATTGAGGACTGAAGATAGCACTTAGAGCATTCTGCAAGAGCTCTAGTGCTGATACTTAAAAGCATAAATCAGTCGCCTGTCTTTACGGACTTTTTTAAATTTCAAACAGCAGATCTTTGACCTCATCAAGGCAACATTTTTGCTTCTATCAGTTCTGAACAGCTGAACAAAATCAGCTGGGTCGTCCCTTGCCTGGAGCATCTCCAGAGAGGGCCCTGGAAGAGGAACTCTGAAGCCCTGAGAAAGGGTCACTATTTTTACTGTGGTTCAAATCCTCTATAAATGCTCAAAGGCTGTAATATTTGCTAAGAGGGTGTCTGTTGGTAGAGGAGCCAGTGTTTATTAAGTTAATGTAACAGTTATGGAGAATCGCTGACATTTGGGCTTTTGGAAACCGTGAGTTACACATAAAAATGAAACTTGATAGTATGAGTTGCTTCATGCTTCTGATGGCTTGGAAACTAAGTCCCCAGACTCCCGTGCACTTATAAAGAGAATAGATGCACTAATTTCAGTGACTTGGCTGAATTCCAGTGAGTAATTACATTCAGCTTATCTAAATTCTGCTCTCTAGTTTGAATTAGTTGTGATAGTTTCCATCTTCTGTCTTATACTATTGTTTATTTCGCTGAGTGGTGTTAAAAAGGCTGCTGCTTTTTCAACTTGATATTGCTGTATTTTGTTAGTAACTGATTCCAAAGCTTGCATACCATTTGCAAATACCTCAGTTAAAAAAATAAAATATTATTATATCCTAGTATCCCTGGATACTTATCATTTTATGGAGAAGTGGCAATAAAACATCATGATCGTTGTTTTGAAATGCACTCAAATAGGGTATTTGTATATACTCATTCTGAGTTTTTGTAGTGTAAAGGGTAAACTGATTTTTTAAAGTGAGCTGCGGAGGAACATTTCTGTAACTTCGAATTAAGCTTGTTCAGCAGGATTTGAGATATGCAGGTAACAGACAAAGACTTTATTCGTCTAGGTAGTGCAGCAGTTTTCATGAGGCTGATGCAATACCTGAAACTGTTGACTCCACAAGGGCAAGGCAAGTTTTAGATCTGCTGTCTGAAAATGAGGGAAGTCATCTTCCTACCCAATGATGTTTGAGAACAGTAAACATTTCATATGTCTAAGTTTTTTTTTTTTCCCAAGGAGATGTTCTTCCCATGTCTGAAATACATATTAAGTATATTAATTCATTTAAGTTTCTATATTGTTTTGGCTTTATCTTTCCATTCAGTATATGCTTTAAGTTGTTGGAGCTCCTCATTTTGTGTTTTATTCATTCAGTGAGTGTATTAGTTTCTCATAGACAATCAGTCATTTTTGTGAGTCTTATTTTGTGATAGACAAAGGCTACCCTGACTGTGTTTCAGGTGACTAAAGATCACTATTTACATACTATGCCACTCTGGAGTCAAGAATAGGGTAAATGCATGTTTGTTGAAAGAAGCCAAAGGGACAAATTGGCAGCGAGTTGAACTGGTCAGGTGTTCGTCCTCTGATCACCACTACTGTGCTGCCTATGATATTTCATCTCACTCAAGTGAATATGTAATTTTTCAGAAAAACGGATGGGGACCACTTGTTTCCATCCTCTCTCACTTTTCCCAGGAAATAAGAAATTTGTTTGCTGCTGCTGTTGCTGTTAGAAATAAAGTTGCTGTTTTGTACCTTGTCAGCTGTTTGAGAGCTGTACGTACAGACTTTCTGGCTCCACAGTATAAGGTGGCATGCAGGCAGCTTCTCTTCTATAGAAGCTGTCTTGAAATCATGAGTAATTTCCCGTTTATTGGAATGCTGATGATCTTAAAAGTTGTTCAAGATAAGAACCTATAAAGGAAGTATAGAAACTGGCAGATAGAACTATTCCCAGCTCCTTAAGACACTGTTGTCCATCTCCAAAAAGGGGGAAGCCAGTGTACCTGCAGGTAGTCCATGAGTGTTTTCAATTTCTGTAAAGATTATGAAGAATGTGGCTGTCAGCTGCTGAGGAAGAGTGTGGATATGTGCTTACTCTGCTGCTCAGGATACATGTTGGAGAAACAGTGGACAGAGTTTACCCTGTATTTTAATACCTTTACAGTAATTTCTAAGTAGGAACTAAAATCATCGATCTCCGTATGCTTGAAATAACTAGCCTTCCTACGCTATCATCATGGAGATCCATGTGTGGTACAGTAAAGGCAGCATAAAAACAAAGCAAACCTTGAGGAACAACAAATGCAAATATTTATTTCATTTTAATTTTCTTTTGCATTTCATTGCATGCATGGATGTCGAAATTCTACATTTTCTTTCCTAAATAAATTTATTCTCTTTTGATTTTTTAATACTGAATTGAAGAAGGTAGTGATAAATGATAGTATGTATCCAGTAGCTTCATTCTTAAATCTGCCCTGGATCTGTTCCATAGAAGGTGGACTAAATTTGCTGTTGAATATCCAATAACTATTAATATCTTTCATACAATAGGTGAAGATTTTACAGTATTGCTGTAAATTAAAGATTGTATGATAATGTTCCAGTAGAGTGTAATAGCAAGTGTAATCTGCAAATGAGATGCTAGGTATAAATTCTTTTCTTTAGACAGTCAGAGTACAGAGCTAGAGACTAAAGACCCTGAGTTTGCAGACATGGAATAATCAACTACTTCAACTACCTTGGCTTTCAATATTAAATATCAGATTTGACTTTATAGTAAGTAATAGGCATTGATTGAGTAATTTGTCATACATTGTGCCAATTCATTTGCAGAAATATGCTGAGTAGATGCAGAAAATAAAAATGAGTTTTAAGTGGAGATGGCGATTGAGTTTGCAGTAATATTAATACCTGTAACCACTACTTGCAAATATCTAAGAATAGTAAGTATGTTCAAGAAAGATACGTTTATATGTTCTTGAGACCACTGGTTCTTTTTCAGTTCAATTAACAGTTGGTATTCATATAACATGATTAAAAATACAATGCATTACAGTTAATTATTGTGGTAAGCAGCTTTAACAAAAGCATCAGTCTTCACTCAAGGAGGCAAAATGGATTTTGGAAGAACCTTTAAGAATGGGTGATTGCATATAAAAGAGGTGAAGAAAAATGAAGCATTACAAATAAAAGCAAAAATGGAAAAAGTGAAGTGGAAAAATACTGAATGAAGTGAGGAATGTGAAAAACCTCTGGCAAGCAGAATTAGAGCAATATTATGATGGCCATTCATTTTTTTGAGAAAAAGGAAAAAAAAGAGATTGTGGGATGAGATTAAAAAAAGAGAAAACTGATTTTCTCTTTTATAATAATTCCTTAGGAGTTTTTGTACTGTACTACAATTTTTTGGAGAAGGAACTGATAATTTTTGGTTAAAAATAGTCATAATGTTGCTAAAACATTAACTTGTTAGACAGATTATATTGAAACATATGTGGAGATGCAAATTTTAGGAATAAATGAATAATACCTAAATCTTCACACAAAGTCTAATAATGTAAACTCTTTGATGTTTCAGCTGCTGTTTATAAACTCAGTAAAAGCTTTTGGAGCTGATAAAACAGTCAGTGTAGTGGATATATTCAGTTTCTTTTCCCTAAAAACCTTTAACTTGTGAGATAGTACAGAGTGGTTATCAGTTGAGGCAGAGCATATAAATAATATTCAAACATGATTTAGGTAAGCAAATAATTCTAATCAGCGACCTAGTACATTATATGAATAAACGTAGTTTCTAAAAGTCTTCTGTTCAGAACTTGACCAATATTTAACCAAGGTAAATAGTGTCAGTGACTGTACAGTCATTGTCTGTTGTACTTGGATCATATGTATGTTTAGAGTGCAATAAAACAAGCATAGGTGAATAATTTTATTTTTGCTATATGATATCTGTGGCAACTGAAATTGGTTGCTAAAAGTTCACTCAGTCTTTCTCTAACAAACAGTTGTATTTTATTTACATGTTTGTACAGTAACAAATGCACAATTCTTTTCTCTGAGAGCAACTCACAGGTATTACAGTATTATACTAAATAGCATAAAGTCATTGGCTACTGGGAGACAAAACAGCAAACATGAGAGAAGGCAACTGAACACAGAATGGAAGGGGCTGTGTTTTGTTTAGGGTAGGGAAGAAGTATCTTGTTTGCTATATTTACCTGTTTATTTTAGTAGAGTTTACTATTTTTCAGGTGCAGATAAAACCCAACATTTCAAGTCAATACGTAATTCGTACACAGCCAACAAACACTTGTCTGTCTACACTTGAATGTGCAGCTGTTGCTCTTACTGTCATGGAAAAAAATAAGAATATACAAGAGGTATGTAATTGTAAGCTCCTGGGTTTTTCTTTATTGAATAGCAGAGGGGCAGTGAAGGTGCTTAGCTATTAATGTCACATTTGACAATTAAAATCCTAACAACATTGTAATGGTTTTGTTGCATAGCAACTCAAACAAGAACGTACCAATAGAAACTGTTTTTCTTGTGTTATTTATTAACTCTAGTATGTTCAGATTAATATGTGATTTTTCTTGTTGTATTCCAAAAGTCTCTATAGTTTTCCTATTCTTTATTCAACATCGCTGTCAGACTGAAGGCAGTTGAAGTGGCTAAGCCATTAATCATCATATCTGAGAAGTCGTACTGACTGGAAAAGGAGAAACATAATGCACATTTTTAAAATAGTTAAAAAGGTAACTACAGGCCTATCAGTCTCACCTTGATGTCTGGCAGATCACAGAGTAGATACTCCTGGAAACTATGCGAAGGCACATGGATAACAAGGCCATGTTTGGTGACAGCCAGCATGGCTTCACTAAGGACAAATTATGCCTTAGAAATTTGGTGGCCTTCTACAATGGGGCCACTTCATTGCTGGGTAAGGGCAACTGACGTAATCTACTTGGACTTGTGCAAGGCATTTGACACTGTCCTGCATGACATGCTTGTCTGTAAATTGGAAAGACATGGATTTGACAGATGGACCACTCAGTGGATAAGGAATTATTGCTGGACGGTCACACTAAAAAAGTTGTGGTCAGTGGCTTAATGTCCAAGTGACATTGAGCCATTGACCACATCAAGGGCTTGATGTCACGTGACATGGGTGACAAGTGGTGTTCCTCAGGGGTTGAGATTGGGACTGGTGCTGTTCAACATTTTCCTTGTCAACATGGGCAGTGGGATTGATGCACCCTCAGCAAGGTTTTCAGCAACAGCAAGCTGTGTGGTGCGGTCAATGTGCTGGAGGGAAGGCATGTCCTCCAGAGGAACCTCAACAGGCTTGAGAAGTGGGCCAGTGCAAACCTCATGAAGTTCAAGGCCAAGTTCAAGCTCCTCCACCCAGGTTGGGGCAATCCCAAGCACAACTACAGACTAGGCAGAGAACAGATGAAGAGGTCTGAGGAGAAGCACTTGGGGATGTTGGTTGATGGGAAGCAAAACATGGGCAGTCAGTGTGTGCTTGGAGCTCAGAAAGCCAACCATATGCTGGGCTGCATCAAATGCAGGGAAAGCTGATTCTCCCCCTCTGCTACACTCTCATGAGACACCACCTGGAGTACCATATTCAGCTCCGGGGCCCCAACGCAAGAAGGACATGGACCTGTTTGAGCAAGTCCACAGGAGGGCCACAAAGATGCTCAGAAGGCTGGAACACCTCTCGTATGAAGACAGGCTGAGAGAGCTGGGGTTGTTCAGCCTGGAGAAGAGGTGGTTCTGGGAGACAATATAGCAGCCTTCCAGTCTCTGAAGGGGCCTACAGAAAATCTGGACAGGAACTTTTTATACAAGTACATGTAGTGATAGGACAAGGGGGAATGGATTTAAGATGAAAGAAGGTAGGTTTAGATTAGATATAAGGAAGACATTCTTTTCTGTGTGAGTGGTGAGACACAGGAACAGATTGCCCAGAGAATTTGTGGATGCCCCATCCCTGGAAGTATTCAAGCCCAGGTTGGATGGGGCTTTGAGCAACCTGGTCTAGTGGGAGGTGTCCCCTGCCTGTGGCAGGGGATTGTAACTATGCGCTTCCTGTGGCAGGGGATTGTAACTAGATGATCTTTAAGGTCCCTTCCAACCCAGACCATTCTGTGGTTCTATGATAATTTCATTTTGTGACATGTGTTGGTGTCAGAATATTTACTTATTTTTCAGTGATGCTCTGAAGTCAAAGCACAACAAGGTGATCTTTGACTCTGAAAAACCCAAAATCTGATTGACTTTGAGACAGGAAATTGAGTATGTTAATGCATGGAAAGTGGTGAATTGTTTTCTGCAAAAGCTGGACAGCAGAGATGATCTGAATACCCCCTCACAGTTAGGTCAAAGATAAAATGCTTTTGTAAACCTGTCCTGCTGACCTCCTGCACTCCTGTGGCTGTGGAATGCAACCCACTTGTTTATATCTTCCTACCAGCCAGCTTACAACTCTTATGTGTCACTGAAGGAATGTGTGACTGAACAGTTCTGGAGTTTAAGTTTATCCCAGGTCAAAGAATACTAGTTGGACATTAGCCTTTTCCATGCAACTTGTGATCCTACTAGTCTGTAATGGAAGAGGTTATTAAGATAATGTCCTTCTTTTGTTGATGACATAAGTAGTGTCAATTTAATAAGCCTTTTGAAAAAGACCTACTGGTAATTTCACACCATAGACCCAGGTCTGCAATCTGATTGTATGCCCAGTATGTAGTCCAGAATGGTCTGTGAAAAGAGATTTAAAGCTCATGAATGGATTCACTACATTCTAGTGTCCACCCTGGGGTGCTCCTATCCCTCTCCGTCAGACAATGAACATTTTGGCACTTGACCATCTATTAAAAAATGTTCCCAGGTCAAAAATTGCTTCTGAAATTGGCATAGAGTATGCCACCCCTGGCGTACTCTGTGGCACTAGAGTCACCTTCATTCAATTGCATTTAGAACCAGGCTGGGACAAAGTGTGTGACCACAAAAGAAACTATGCCTCAGAAACTGGAACTCTTCATAAAGAAACTTCTCTAGAAGCTTGCGTGTCTTTTATAACAGTGCAGCTATCATATGCTTTTATGCTAAAAGAAGGTAATTATTTACTGTAGTAAAGTTATGAAAAATTAGAAATAACAAAATTAAAATGGGTTTTGTATATTTATTTTTTCCTTTTGTGTGCTAGGATGGTGTTGGCATATTTTTCCTTCATTAAGACATCTGTCACTCAGATCCAGGGTAAATGCTTCATTAATGTCTGCAATTCCCAGTCCTGTATTCTGTTTTATCCCTATCCCTTAGAATTGGTTCAACCTCTTCTTCAAAGACAAAATTATCAATTGCTGAAGTATGCTTCTATAAATGTTGCAATAGCTAAGAGTTTCATAAGCATTCATGCACTTTTTAATACCCTCTCTGAATTCAGTGAGTGCTGTTCCCAGCATATAAGATGGTGAAGTTGAGAGCCATGGAGGTTAAAAATGGGAACATAGTTTGATGCCAAGTATAAGTCACTTGATTTTCCTGTATGCTTGGAAGAGTCACGTTTTACTTGGTAGAAACTCAGCTCCTGCTGACTGGAGTTACATTTGTGATTGCTTTACACATCTGCATATGAGGCCTTGTGTTACTGAGTCAGGCAACCAGAAAATGAAGAAATTGCAATTAGGAACCACTTGAGATAAATTTGGGTTGTGTGGCTTCATTAGTACTACATGATATTGCTGTGCAGAAGCAGGGATACAGTCCAGTCTCCAGGACAGCAGGGCCTTAATCATGAGCCCCTCGTCTTTTTCTAAAACCTTGCTTCAAGGTATTTTCATGCAAGCACAAACAGCTTAGTTACTATTATTTATTTTGTTATGGCTTGTTGGCTGAGCCACAGTAATTGATTCTAGTCCCTTGCTGAGGTCAAGTTATAGCCATAACTTAAAGTAATGCAGCTGGGGCTGAAGTCAGGATTGAGTGGGTCAAGGAAAGGGGTAAGGGGTAACAGCAGGTAGGTGCGTGTATGTCTGATATATGGCTTCCTTTTAGTACATTTCATATTCAGCTGTGCCCTCTGTGTCTCCAAAGTCTCCAAAATACTTTACCAGTATTTTTAATCCAAATTATATTTTATCAGCATTTTTAAGTAGTCCTTGAATACAAAACCTGGAATAATTGACGTATCTAAAAGAGCTTACTAAAAAGTGGGGTTTTTTTGTCTCCCCCAACCCCTTCATCTTTCTGCAGACTATACTCCGTCCACTTCAAGCTTTATGCTCTTTCCAGCTTCAGCATGGTGCCCAGATCCATCACAGCAAGGAGCATCTTCTCAAAAATGGCTTATATGACAAGCCAATGCCAAAGAGTAAGCGCAAACTCAGAAGAATGGAGCTTTTGGTGAATAATGTTAAAATATAAGAAAACTGTACTGACAGTACAGTGTGATTTATTTGCAGCTAGCGAATGAATATGAATCTGGATTTGATCCAAATAGTTGACTGTACTGTAATAAAAAAAACATCTAGGTCCTTCACAGGCAAGAGTTTATCTACCAATGCGACAAACAGTAATGGACAAGCTTTTTCATGTTCACAGTAGGCCAGGTGCCTTTGTTCAGGTAATAGAAGATCATTCTCATTTTCTATAGAAAAGAAGAAAACTGTGAGCATAATTTAGAGTTATGTTATCTCTTGGGTGACAAGTATGATCCTCAATATGACTGGATAAATTTACTTTGGAGAAGCTTTGTCAGAACAAAACAACCAAGAAATATGAGTGTTACGGAATGGTAAGGCTTCAGCATTTAGAAATATATTGAATTTCTGCTGAGCTTTTTAACTTCAGTATCTAATTACAGTAGGTTTTCAAACTGTAATTCGTTATATTACTTAGTTCAGATGAACATAAGGCATTGTATTTGGATAGTTCTTTTTAACTTTGAGGCTTTTATTTCTTACATTATTAGAATTGCTTTTTTGTAATTTTATATACATTTTACAATGCAGCTGGGTTTAGTTTGTCTCTCAGACTAAACTTTTAAATGAAGCCTGCATATGTTCCTACCAGAACCTGAACACTTCCAACTTAGGAAAAAAAAGTGAATGTAGAGAAATGATTTTTGGAATTATAACTCAAGTACTTCACTTTTACTTGAGCAAAAACTACTCTTCCACAAAACAGGACATTTTATGGATATGGATACCTCATACCCATAACCTAAGGGAATTAAGCCAGCCCAGTGTAAGGAGCTATGTAAGATCTATGATGCAATAAGAAGTTATTATGGCTGGATACAACCTACTAACATGATTACAGATCCTTTAGATTTCATGTGTTCTTTAATTAGTTCTTCTCTTTTAACAGTGGTATAAACTCTTTCTAATGGGAATCACTGGAATCAGAAGAATAGGATATTTTTACAAGCTCTGTAAAGTAATGTTTTATGATCTGGAGGAAAAAAATAAAGTGAAATAAATGTTTTGATGTTCCTTTGTTCATGTTCATAAAAGCATCCTTCATGAAACAGATTAAAATGCTTAATGTTTGTCTTTACTGTTGGTTCCACTCTGGGTAACAACATGTAGCTAATTGGGCACTAATTAGTCTTAGAAAAAGATAGTTTGTTTTTAATTTATGAGCTGCAAGGCAAGAAACTACAGAAGTGGGGGATGTAAACACAGCTAACCAACATATTAACTGAAAGCATTTCTGCAATTAACAAGAGAGGTCAAAATTAGGTTGGAGATTAGCTAAGAAGTTTTAGTTAACCCTGAGCTAATAATGACCTTTTGTTTAGGCATGGATTAACAATTTAATTTGTTTTTGTTAGCAAAGTTTATATAACCTTTTTCTCTTCTCCCAGTCTAGATAAATCCTATATCTCTCACTAAATTCAGCAAACTTGAATTAGTTTTGACAAATCTGAAGCAAAACAGTCTCATATGATTAATGAAAGTGTAGATGCACTTTTGTTCACGTTGGAACAGAGAAAGGGCATGTTTATTCCTGTAGCAAAGCACAGCACAGCAATCTCTGGGATAGCTGCGAGTCTGAAGTTGCAATCTTGTGCCACTTGTGTGCACAGCCTTGTGTGTGACACTGCCTCCAGTTCTGGGCTTGGTATGACTCATGGTGGGCCGGAAATCTGTTTTCTCTGTGCTCTGGGACGTGGTCCAAGCATTCCTTAAAGAAGTAAGGGTATCAGTTAGGCTTTATTGTTAATGCAATACTTAATATAGACTATATTCACATTTAATGTTGTATGTGTTAATTTAGTTTCCCTTATTTTAGATTCATCTGGAACAGTAATGTATCTTTCGATCTACATTGTGAAGATTACTTTTCTGGACAGAATACTAAATGTGTCTTTTCATAAAATGTGAGTTTATATTATGGAGAACAGAAAGAAATTTGTATTACAGCCGAGGAGTCACAGACATCTGCAAAATGCCTTAGAATTACAGGATCAGAGAAATAGTTGTCTTAATTGAGTTATAATCCTACGTTAAATACTCTTGTGCATGCAGTGCATAGTTTTCGTGTTTTTCACCAAAGAGCAAATTCCATATGGCTTATAGTAAGCACTTTTTAGTTTTGTTGATTCCTCTTGTTCTTCTAATTTTGCTCTTGTGGCTAACAGGATTTGTAGGATGTAATGCTGGATGCATGGAAGACTTTAACTGCTAATTTCCTGTGTTGTACAATACTAGATCAATCACTATGCTGTAGTTGCTGAAGAAATGAAAAACAATTCATTACAAGCCTCCAGGCATTTTATTTTTTAAGTTTTTTGTCTCATCTGAGCTATAACATAGTGATCGTGTAGCTGCAACACAGCAGTCACATGAAGTTCAATTTCAGATTTGTTCAAAGCTATTAAACACAAAAATTGTTTACATTTTTGGTGGAACTTGCGTGGCTTTAAAAATATACACAGTGTGGGAGGAAGTGTTTAGAAAGTTTTTTTTCAGGTCTTTTGTATTCAGAATTTACCTCTAAATACACTACCTCAAATACATGTGTACTTCAAAGTCCAAACTCTTGATGGAAGTTGTGCGTGATGAAGTAGCACTCTTTGTAAGCAATAGCATTAGAATGAGTTTAATTTGCAATTTTATTTTTTGCTGTAATGGTCAATTGTTTCATTTTTCACTTACTGAAAGATTAATGTGTGAAACTCACCAGTCTAGCAAGATATTGATTAAAAAGAAAGGAATTTGTTTGCTTCTAATGTTTGGTCCTTTGTCCTTATTCACTTTGTTCTTCCAAATATTGCTACCAAAATGAAATCTCCCTTCCACATGCCACTGTGTCATGCTTTGAGGAAATGTTGACATGGATAAATCAGGCTTTTGAATGAGCACATGTAAAATTTCACAAAGGTTAGGTGTTGTAAAGTTTTCCTATATTCATAATCTGCAAGGCAAAGTTTAAGAAAAAGACAAAGCTAGAAATCTTTAAAAATAAGAGCAGAACCCCCTATACCTTTTGTTTAGAAAGCTATCAAATTAAAAGTGAAAAGATGCTCAGGACAAGCAAATTTGTTTCTCTTCAAGATTTTACTTTCATTGCCTTATAACCCTTTTGGAATTCCAGCTGGAAGATGGTGTTACGTACCAAGAAATTACTGTTATATTAGATTCTCTTGAAATAAAAAGAAAACTTTTACACTGGTTTCAAAAGGGGCAAAAATTAGTTTAAGACCAAGGTTTTTCTTCTCAACTGTTACATTAGATAAAAAATTGCTTGTGCTGCATGATTTTCTACAACATCCCTACTTTTTATTTTTTTTAATTTAATTAAAACCCGAGCTTTTAAAAAGGGATAGTGGTTCATGCATTTCTCCTGAGCTTTGTGTTTATTATGCCTACATATATAAATGCACATAAATTATGTATTTGTTTCTGCTTTGAAGCAATAAAAGATCTAATTTACTGTGAACCTTGTGCCACTGTGTCTTTGTGAATTTGTTTGCGTGTGCTGGTATCACAAAGAGGTAAGCCTCATCCTTTTCTGTGCCTTTTTAACACCATTCAGTCAGTTAATGAGAAGATGTGACTTTTCTTATGCCATTTGAGAAAAAAGATTCCTTTGTTATCCAGTGCAACCTGCATGAAGACTAAATTGCTATGGCAATTTCTTGGGCATTTCAGTCTCCTCTGCAGTAGTGGCTCTACTCCTGTTTCTACCCCACAAACATGCACACCTTCCTACGCTCTAGCATCCCTCAAGTGCTGCCTCTCCAGTTCAGTAACACACTAGGACTAATGATTTGAACATCCTGTATCTCAGGCACATTTTTTCCTTCCCCACATTGTTGTACTCGTCTTAAAGAAAAAGCTATCTCCGTTCCCATGCAGCCATTCCTCATCTCCCTGCCATAAAACCTATGCTTTAGGGACTTCCATAACACTCTTAGTTACCAGGCTTGTTCCTTGTGTTCCTTTTCACAATCCTCCCAAAGCCCCAGCACTGTGTGTCCTGAGAGCTGCTGCTTTTGTGGTGGGAGACAGATGACTGGGGAAACTAAAGAGTGGAGGAGAGAAAGGCTTGTGTTTCAAGAAGTTGAATAAGAGTCCTGGGTAAAAGTTGCTTCTGTTGCTGGGGTACAGTTGCTGTAAAGCTTGATACTCATCACTATGGTTTGGTGTTTGCTTAATGCCTGGATTGTCCTAACCTTTTGACTTGCCTGTGGAGTATATCCTAGGGTAGCTGCTTTGTTTTGCTGGTTTAAGATTCACTAAATACTTATTTGATTCCCTTTGTGTTTCCTAAAAGATGCTTTCTGTGTGAGAAGGTACTTTTATCACTGTGCAACAGAAAAAATTGCAATACCTATGGGGCAGCAATGCTTGCAGCACAGTTATGGCTTAAGTTGATGTGTATACACCACTTGATCTGGTTGGACTGTGGATTTTGCACACCTTCTGTCATAGATGGAAGAGGCAGATGCTCAGCTGGAAGTAGCTTTGAACTGTTTGCTTTGCCCTTCTAAGTAATAATTAAAAACCTCAGTAGCTGTAACAGACCATATGCTGTGCTGTGGCCTACTGTGTCTGTAAGGATAGGTAACATATTTTAGCTTTTATAGCTGAACTGAAACTGGGACTTTATTTGCCATATGAAAGATTCTTTTGGGCTTGAATACTGGGACTTACTCTCAATAATGAAGTGTATCAAAGAGTACATACAAAAGATTTAAAGTACCTTAAGACGTATCTACTCCTCTATGTGTTAGTGGAACAGGAACATAGAATATTTGGCAAATTAATAATATATAAATCATTTGCATATGTACATGCATGTAAATATAGGTAATATGTTTACAAAATACAAAATTATTGTAAGTTATCACCATTTTTTAATAGGTTTTAAAAGCAAAATAAAATTTCTATTTTTCTAGTTCCTTGTTTTCATTT